ATGCGGATAACCTGGAGAGGGTTCAGAGAAGGGCCACTCGTATGGTTAAGGGCCTGCAGACCAAGCCCTACGAGGAGAGACTAGAGAAACTGGATCTATTCAGCCTCCGCAAGATAAGGTTGAGAGGCGACCTTGTGGCTGCCTATAAGTTCATCACGGGGGCACAGAAGGGAATTGGTGAGGTTTTATTCACCAAGGCGCCCCCGGGGGTTACAAGAAATAATGGCCACAAGCTAGCAGAGAGCAGATTTAGACTGGACATTAGGAAGAACTTCTTCACAGTTAGAGTGGCCAGGGTCTGGAACGGGCTCCCAAAGGAGGTGGTGCTCTCCCCTACCCTGGGGGTCTTCAAGAGGAGGTTAGACGAGTATCTAGCTGGGGTCATCTAGACCCAGCACACTTTCCTGCTTATGCAGGGGGTCGGACTCGATGATCTATTGAGGTCCCTTCCGACCCTAACATCTATGAATCTATGTTAGTCAGTGGATGAATTTAAGCATGTTCTTACATATCTTTGTGGAATCATATTGGCAAGGGGATTTTCCATGAAGTTTGGTTTCTGTGGAAGGCAGGATAGGATTAAACTATCCTGTTCAAGCAGCAGAATTCCTAAACTTTTCTGGTATTTTCCTCTCCATACCCTATATTTAATGACCCATGACACTGCACTGTCGGCTGCTTCAGGAAACAGTCAAAAGGATTAAAACTGCACCAAATCTCAGCTAGACACCACAGAATGTCTCTCTATTATTTACAAAGACCAAAAATACAAAGACAAATCTTAGATTACCCACACATTATTTATGACAATTATATTTCTGGGTTAAACAAGTCCCTTTTTCACATTTCCACACAGATAGAAATTTTTAAGACTTGTGGTTCTGAACCTTTACTCCCATCTCTCATCCATACATGCTTTAGCTCTTCCTGCATCATACCTGCTCATGCTTACAAATCACAAGTAGTAGAAGGCACTTGGTTGAAGTGCAAAATTCTGGAACAAGGTGGAAGTATAAATACTGCTAACAAAATTTATAATTACAGGGTTACTGGCAGCCCAATAATTTGATTTTCTAATTATCCCACGCACTTTAGTCTTAAAATTGATGCTGTATACATACAGGGTCAAATTATTTCATTTCTGGCAAAGTGTTGGCACAGGAAAGCACTAAAACCTTACTATAAAAAATTCAACCGTATTTCAGAGATTACATGGTGAAAAGCATTTAATCTATGCCTTTCAAGCAACTGTGCTGAGCAACAAGAGCACATTGGTTCAGTAAATGATTATAAATCTGTGGACAACACTTTTTAAAAAAAATAGAACCTTGATTTTCTGCATGTGTGAGCAGAGTGGTTCACCAAATGCAAGTTTTCCACATTAACAACCCTCTACAGCAGAGCTTTCCAAACTTTTCATGTTGGTGACACTTTTTAGACATGCATCATTTCGCGACACAGTAATTCAGTTCCGGGGGAGGGGCCAAGGGAAGCAGACGCGAGTAAGGGAGCTCCGCGGTGCCCTTCCGCAAAGTTTTCTGCATTTCGCGCAACACACCTACACACTGCCGCCGACACACTAATGTGTCGCGGCACACAGTTTGGAAAGCTCTGCTCTACAGTATACAAACTGCTTCCATTATAATGTTAAAAATGATTTCTACGTGTAAGGTCAGCAGACCAAAGCTATGAAGAATTTGGAGAAAGCTAGTTCAAACTGTTTTGATTGGATCTGCTGAAATAAATGCTGTGCAGCAGATCACCAGCTGATTGGTCATGCACAATTTAGAAACCCTGAAGTTTAAGACTATCCATTTAATAAAAAGACAAAACTATAAAACGTTGGCATTTTAAATATGAAGGACCTAACTTACCAAAGCTTTTCTTTGAATGACATGTTTTATTTACTAGATGGGGTGGGAGAAGAAAGCCTTATGAATTCACAATGAAATTCCAATTTATGGTGAATTTGGAGAAATATTGTCCTTTCATTCGAAGTATATGACAGTATATAAACTGAAATTCTAATTATAGTGAGCTTCCACTTACAGGTGGAGTTATCTGATAATAAAAGTGAAGTGCCAAAGGATTCTGCACACTTTCTGCTCCGCTGCAGCACTTCACCTCGTAGGCTTAAATGAAACATTAAGCAAACAGTAGTGCAAGAGTGATGTTGTACCCATGATGGTCCCAAAATTATAAAAATGCAAGGATTTCTTAAGGTGATAATCTTTTATTGGTTATATTTTATTTTTATATTATATATTATATATTATTTATAATTTATTATTATTTATTTTTATTATAATAATTTATTATCATGTATAATATATTATTGGTTATATAAGTATGCAGTTATATAAGTATGTAGTTGGGTAAATTAAACAAGCTTTTGAATGCAAGACATTCTTCCTCAGGTTAACACACAACACAAAATCACCAATAAATTAGATCCTTGTTTGAGAATCTGAATAGTCGAACCTGCAGTAACTAGCGAAATCCACGTTACACATTTCACTAAATTTGATCCATCTCCAGTGCTCCTCTCAATGCTTGTGTTTAAAAACTTGACCTTACCAATAATTCTTGTACCAAAGTGTGCTGCCCAGCTCCGATGAAGAGATACCTCTTAGTCCTTTCTGGGAGTCTGAAAAGAAGTTTTATTTCCACTTTACTGACCAGATTCCTTGCTTTCAGACACGCATCAGGCTAACCTACATTCCAGTGAGTCTGAACATAACTCCTTCTGGATTTCAGTAGCATCCCTTCGGCCAACAAGATTCAGCAAAGCAATGAGTCACTGCTTACACAAAGGGTCCAAATCCCTAGCACATGGAGAACTTTCAGTCTGTCGACTTTAGCTGCAAGACTCAAATTCTATTCCCTGCACAGAGAAGGATACCACAATACAACCAACCCTAAAATTAGCATCTCTAAGTAAAATATTATGTAGTTTCTGCAAGATATAGGATCTTACAGCTTCTGTAAGACCTAAACATTTAGGTCAAGATCCGCATCCCGTTGTGACACATTGTATAAACAGTAAAAACTCCTCTAAAACACATAGGTTGTAACAACAAGTAGTGAGTGCGTATCATTTAATATTATTGGAAACAGATTCATTAACTAAGATTTATTTTATATGTTTGTTGCTGTTGTTGAATTGTCCCTATCTCTGAAGATTTTTAAAAGGGCATGAAGATTTTTAAAAGGGCAACAGCAGAGCCATTTGGGTGGTGAAAGTTGTCACGACCCAGTGATTTTGGTGC